TTCTACAATTTGATATCGTATATCTATATTATAATTATAGTATAGTATCGTATAGTACAATTGCTTGTGTATATTGTATATTTCTTGCTCTTGAAAATTTTTAAAAAGATTTATTTATTCATCATAAAGAATATGAAATATTTAGATTTAAGAAATATCTAAAGAACTGCAATACTTAATTCTAAGAATTTATATTAATTATGTCAATATCGTTTAACGGTAAACTTGATTAATTAAATTTTCTTCTACTATTGGCATTATAAGTAGGATCACATAATCCGGAAGAGGCAACGAATCGCTAACACAGAATTAATTAACTCAGGCCGTCGGTGCCTCAATCTTCATACCTCAATCTTCATATATAGCTCAATAGGGGGATGTGAAAGTACGTCCGCGAGGAGAAGAAAAAGTTACAGACTTATTTCACAGACGATTTTCAAAGCGCTACATTGGATTATAAAGCGCGTTTATAGTCGTATACTTTTTCATTATCCGAAGTAATAGTCTCATAATTTTAAACTAAAGATATGCAATCGATAAGCCGCAGTAGCTCGTATAAAAGAGAGAACGTCCCACGGTAAGAGAGTAACACGATAGTGCTGCGCATAGACTAAAGTTCGGGCGCTAATGAGCACCGCGATTAAGCAAATTTATTCCGTTTGTATCCGGCGGAGGGATATATATCGTTTTTACCTAAAAGCGCGGACCATATGAAACCGCTGCGGCGAGCGGTTTGCGTCGCGATCGGAATCGAAATACGGTATCCATTAATTATGTACAAATTAATAATAATATGTACATTGTCACGTCATTAGGTGCTATGCATTGTATATTTAATAATGCCATCGTTGTGCATTTGTCCTTCATAGTGTCAACTTCGCTCATATTCATTGGGGAGAGGCGGTGAATGTACTGAATATTATTCAGGCAATCCCAATATCGTACATGCGAGCAGACGGAAAGATACGATTATATACGCAAATCGAGTTCAATTTCTAGCTCATTGTCGAATGGTCGGATTCTTGAAATGGTCGTAAATTTTCATTCAGACATCATCATTTCACGCGTTCCTTCCCTTGATAGTCCAATTTCCATGCATCCAATATTATCGTTAAAGTACGAAGTCTATACACATATAATATAATTACGACGACGTTTTTTTTTCGCCGGTGCAACGAGAATCGAGCATCGATTATTCGATGTAGCGAATGGATTTCTATTTAATCATCGGCGTCATGGGAAACGGACATCATTGGTGGGGCGATGGCGGATGGGAGCGCACAGAGAGGATAACGGAAGTTACAGAAGGGGATAGTGCGATAATAAATATGCCCAGCGCCGGCAGCCATAAATCCCGCGTAATTGAATTTTCAACATCCATAACTGGCCGTCGCTCGGCGCGACCTCAGGAAATAGGACGGAACGGGACGTATCTTGAACGGGAGTTAGATGATTCCATTCCGCTTTCGAAAGGTGCAGTTCTCTCGCTTCTTTCTGCCTCCGCTCTCTTACTCTCCACCGCAATAGACAGAACGGCAATCGATTCTACGACGTTCGTAAGTCGGGGACTATTTTTAATTCGCCTCCCAGATCGAGTCGCGGCGCAACGCGACGGCCACCCTTTCTCCTTCGCTCTTTCTTCTCCTTTCCCTCGACTCTCGGCGAGCGACGAGTTCCTTTGACGCGAACATCTAATCAAGGATTTTCTCGATTCTTGAGTCTCCGTCCTACCGAGCTCTATAGCTATAACGTTCTTTCTCGCCACTATCTCCTTGCTTTCCCCCTTGGTTTGGCTCCACCTTTTTCCTACCACTCTTCTCATTCTTCTTCGCGCTCGTCGGCGCCGCGCCGTCGCTGTCTTTGCACCGTTGTCGTTGTCGTCGTCGTCGCGCAGACTTGGCGCGGAAAACTTTGATTGTACGTAAGTCGAAAGCGCCGGGAACGAAAAAGGAACGCCCGGAAAATCGTGGGGTAGTTGCCGCCGGTCGCCGAGAGTCGCCTTGTCGCACGATGGGATTTCTGCTGATTGGAAATCCTGTCATTCAATAGCCCGCATATACATTTCCTGGTAGACTGCACCGACCGGCCGGCGTGACGACGACAAACGTTTTCCTAAAAACCCACTACGGTACAGAGCAAAAGCGATAGGAGAAGAGTAAAAGTCACATTTTGTGTGTTCGTCGAGATCGGAAACTTTTCCTTTGACTGCGTTAGTTGATGTTTTGGCGGTTTTCCCTGATGAGATGAACTTTACTCTCTACGCCAGTCTACGCGAATAAACTCGTTTCGATGCTTCCAACATTTTCAATATTTGCTAGTGTCGACGCGTGGCGCGATTCACTTTCATAATGAAAACGAAGCAGTCCTAGTTTCGGGGATCCTCGAAAAATCGACCACGTGATCGGTAGTGCATATTATACCTACCACTGCGATAACAGCCGGAGATTCGGGGGGGGGGGGGCGGAGGTTGCCGTAACGCCAGAGATTACGATAACCCTTCCCGCCGGCGAGAAACAAATGACGTACTAACTGCATATTAACCAAATTACCCGGGTTGTCCGTGGAGCCCGCCTACTGCCCAATGATCCGTGCCGCGCAGTTCGCGATTCACTGCCGTTTCATGGACTGGACTAAACTTTCTCGACCGACGGCGAGCGCGTCGGGCACGTAATCACCTTGTCTTCCTTGATGGATTAGGATACCCGGCGATGGAAACAATTATCGACAACGTGCCGATTGACCGGGATTAGTCGAAATCGTCCTACGTCCAATTAACACCTTTTTGCATCAACTCCGCGATGAAATCGCCTTAATTATTTTGCGAAACGACGTATGTGGAAATTCGCGGGCAGAAAATTCATCGGGATTTCGTAAACGACGAGTAGAAAGATGACGTACCGCGAAAAAGTCAGTATTATTCCGCCTTAATCTTCCGTAGAAGCTACGACCGTAGTCAAAGTCTTGGAACAAGTACAGCGCGACGCGCTCTTTGGCGAATAAAAATATTACTCTGGCACAATGTTCTTCTGGAAAGAGAACGCGATTCTTTCTAGGCTCCGTCCGTCAGATTTCAAAGTTCCTCGCTGCGCTTCGGTAGTTGTACATATTTCACGAGACCGAGTCGCTCCGCGTATTCATGGAGCAATGTTTCTTGCGCGCAAGAAAGTTAGACAGTAAGTTAGCACGCTGTCGCGCGTTATTCATTACCTTTGTTCCTTCTGCGATCGTCTCCCGGACAATTGTGAGAAAAAATACGTTGTGCGATATCCGAGATCAACCGAACTTACTTTGCCGGTCTTATGGTATTCTTAAAGTTGAATGTTTAGACTTTAGACGGCCAACTTTTATGATGATTATTTTCAACGATAAGTTTCATGTTTAATATTGGCAGTTTTCAACCACGTTAAATAAATTTCTATCAATTATCTCTGATGAACGTCGAGAAGCAATCGATAGATAGTTTAAAAGCGAACTGTGACTTTTCGTGACACATGAATTGTCTGTCACATTTATTGATAGAAATACAGTATAAATTAATTAGGATAATCGATCAATATTACCGAGCGGAGGTTAAACATACCGAAATATTCTGAAGATAAATAGAATAATATGAAACATATATATGAGATAACAAATATGGCACAACTTTTTCGCGAAATATATTCCGGAAACATGTTTCGTGTCTCGTGACACATATGAAACGCCATCGAGATTTTCTGCGGACGCTACTCATATAGCATATAACTCTCCCTTGGTAGAGGGAATACGCGGGATAAGTCAAGGGGATCGAGATAACGAGAGAGTAAGAAGATCCTCTCAATTTTTCTGTAACAAGCGCGTCCAAAGGCTGCCTCGTAAAAAAGGATACGTCTCGTCGGTGATATTAGCGCATAAAAGAAAGCGCGCATAATACGCGAATCTTTATATCCGCGCGGTGAGTATAAAACTTTGGTGCAGAACGATGTTCGAATTACCGCGTACGAGAAGACCAGAATTCATTTTTACGTCGTGTATCAGCTTATCGTGGAGAACTAATTTGATTGTGAGTAAAAAGTTGGACGATCAACGACTACCAGAAGCCTCGGTCTTCTCACGAGCGAGCAATTTCTCAGCCAGAGTTGATTTGTAGGACAATATTTTTCCCAGACTAAAAGATAACACATAAATGCGAACGTGTCGTGGTATTCTTCGGAGCTGTCTTCGAGCTGTGCTCGCCTTTTTTTCCTGCGCTCTACACCCTTCTCTCATCCTCGCTCTCCTCACCGACTTTCTTTTCTATCCGAGCTTCTTCCGCGCTTCGGGTGGCACGTGACCTCGTTCCGAGATAAGACAATGTTTCTCTACTCTCGGTGGACAGAAAGAGATCTCTATCCACTCTATTCACTCGACAGATAAGTCGCTCTTCAGCCGCGGATGGATAGAAGATCTACAACACCTCAAACGACTGATTCGTGATCCTTGACTTGATCTTTAGAATGTCGGTACAAGAGTCATATACTCAACTGTTTTATTTTCTAACTTTTATATGTCGAATTCAGTTTGTGAAAAACCTTGTAAAAATTAAAATATTTTACTTGGGTCGAAATTATCTTGATATGAATTGTGAAATATTACAAAAATAAAAATGTGAGAATAAGATAATAGATGTCTTTATATATTTAATGATATTAACTAAAAGATCAATAGCATACAATTTTAGAAGCTTTATATTTTGATTTCAATAAATTTTGCGATTATTGCTCCCAATTGTAGTAATTTTTCATCATTAATAAAAGCGAGACAAATAAACAATTAGCCACGAAACGCTTTGAAATTTTTAATCCAAGATCAATAAAAAAACAGGCTAGTCGACAAGGATGGCAGCACAAAACAGCTCTGCGTACTCTGCCATCTCTGATAAAGTACAGAAAGTATGATGCAGTAGTAAATAATTAAAGACAAATTTTAATTGTGTCGAGATTATATCTCGAGGAAGAGTTGAGAGAAAAATGAAAAAAATATTACATTTATATTTGCTCTGATTATATTTATATAGTAATACCTTGATAATACGTAAATTAAACAAGTCGTTTCTTATTCACCTTAAAGTCGCATAGTCTTTTACCATAGAACAAGTCCAGCTATCTTTTTAATGGGATGTATTTAAAAAAAAATATCTAGGCGACCGGTCGAAGTTGCATTTGTGGTGGGAATGCAGTGCGATCGGTCGATATCCTCTCGACAATATTAAGGGCACTCATTAATGATGTTGATTAACAATGAGATTACGATTCTTCCACGTTCACTTTCTCCGTTTGCGCTGACACGGTATCCCCGGCAACTTTTTCTCGAATTCCCATCCATTTGCAGCGCTTCTCCAGTTCTTGTCGATACCTGATGTATATACACAAATTTTTTCCGTCATAAAATTGCAATTATTTATCTCGAAATTATCTCTTGACCTTATTAGTTATGGAAATTATATAACAATTACTTTGTATTTTATAAAAATTTATTAGAAATGAAAGAATGCTAGAGGTACGTATACATTACCTAGGATGGTTGATTGCGTATATCCATGGATCGATGCACGACACCGTCTTAGCAAATATGGCTGGTAACATAGTCGACAGCGGAGTAAGCACTTCGCTGGAACATACATAAAAAGAATTGAACGTAAAAATACGAGACTTTTCGGGTCGAAGAACATTTTCGAACGTGTTACCGATTTCCATAGGCCCCAATTAAAGCGACAACCGCATACGGTGTCCACGCGAGCACAAAGAGGAAGAATATCGTAAATGCGGCTTTCGCGATTCTCATCTCGACGCTCCTCTCTTTATCTTGGTTCGACACGAGCGACTTGACGTTCATCTTTTTAGCCTATGCACATACAACGCGCAAAAATGAATCCTCTGCAATTCATTTCATTGCGATATCGAAACTCGAGCTGTCACGCGAATCATTAAATTGCTGCTTACTTGATCGCGAAGCATTTTTTCGTGAGTGCGAATAGACTTCAGCAATTGCGAGTAGAAGTATATAATCAGCAGCATAGGAAGGACGTATGCCCAGAAGAATATTGTTATCACGAATGCCCTCGTGTCCTCGTCATCCGTGAGATAATCGAAGCTACATGTGGTGAGAAAACCCTCTGAAAATTGTACGTTTTATTTGGAGAGGGATGCTTCATTTTTTACTAAAGAGAAATCGGATAATAAAATTAACTCAGAATACGTTTTATTTTAATCTTAAAAACCTTAAACAGCAATCCGAATTATACTCGAGACGAAGATATAAATTAATCATAAAATTAGAATATGGAGCTTAAATACGGAAACTAAATCTTATTGGTTTAATAAAATTTTTTTTTTACTTTATTAAATCTTATTACTCTCCTAGCAATAAAAGCGATAGAAGGAACCTATTTACCTGCCACAAACCGACCCCACAGTCCTGTCATAGGCAATATCGAGAATGGTAGTGCCCAAAACCACGTCAACAGAGCTAGTACCATAGCTTGTTTCCCATTCAGTCTACCGTCAATCGGACAGCTAATTGTTCTGTAATACCAAGATTGTATAGAACAGTTACAATCCCGTCCGTTGTTATAGTTACAAATAATTTAATGACAAATCCCGAGAAATGTTGACTAAATCGTAAAAATTAGTCGTCTTCCTAGATCTTCGATATCATCGACATAGTCGTTTACGACAAGTCGTTAAATTTTAATGAGCGTGTAACCGCTTTTGCAATTGTTCTGGAATAGATCCAATAAAAATCCAATAAAAATTGCTCGCTAATAATCAATAAATAAAATTGTCAAAGCTGCACAGCGCGTGCCTACCTATATCGATCGAAAGCGATCGCCGCATTGGTGATCGCTTGTCCCATCCCGGAAATCGCGCCGAGCAAAGCATACACATCGCATCCGGTTTCCCATCCAATCGTTCGCTCCAGGAAGCTGTTTATGATCAGCATAGGCATCTCCATTGCCATCAGTAGGTCAAATACAGCTAAATTCAAGATAAATATGTTCGAAGGTGTCCTCAGTGATTTCGATCTAGACATCAATATATCAAAATAAATAATCATATTACGAAATACATTTATTAATTTTAAGAAAAAAAATTATTATTTAAGAGACGAAATAAAGTGCGCTACTATTTCCTTTCGCACATCGCAGAGACTGTGCTGAAGCGATTCAGTCTCATGTATAAAGATGGCGACAGCACTATCATTTTGTTGGTCTTACAAGCATCATAGAGATGACTGACTCATCATTTATGGTTCGGATATAACATTTACGTATTTACATGCATGCACTCATATACACACATTTTTACGAGAAATATTACAATAATCAATTAAGAAAAAATCGAAGCAAAGTACAATCTAATTTAGCAAAAATAAAAATTGAGATAGATAAAGCAGGATAGTGCAGGATAAAGCTTTTGTTTTTATATTCCGTGCCTCTTCTTATTTCTTTTAGAAGAAACCTTATGGACATTTGCAATATGAATAGCGTAGATTAAAAAATGTCTAGTGCAAAATTCAAAAAATTAGAAATAACTCCATTTTTGCAACAAATATTAATAAAATTATATACAATTATCACATAAACACAGACAAAACTAATAATTGTTAAAATATACATATTTCAAAAGCATATTTTACAATATTAGGAGTTTTTTAAATTACATTGTATATAAGTCTTGTAATTTTCAAAATTTAATTTAGCTTTTTTAATATATGCAAGTTGTCTTATGAAATTTTCTTAAATGGCGCGATTTGGCACTTACGTGCTGAAAATCCAAATAACAATGCCGTTCCCGACGAGGGACAGCATCAAGAGCAGGAAGTAAATGAGTGCGAGGGCGACGTGCCATAGTCTTCCGGGTGCGAGGAACGCACGCCAATGCGGGTGCACGAGATCCACGTGCTCGGCGGGAAAGTTCCATCCTAGAAAACGTTCCTGCAGCAGCTGTACATCCCTGTTATTTAAAAATACACCGACTAATCAATATTTGATTATACGGAGTTATTGAAATTTGCGAAACTCTCCAACCGTGATGAACAAAGCTTCTACAAATTAAATAATAAAAGCTTATATTATTCGTTCAAATTCAGCCGATTTGATTCTCTCAGAATTTTAATCCGGTGTTCAATTATCGTGATGGTGATAATGTTGACTACTAAAAAAATATCTTGCAAAATGTTTTATAAGGCAAAACTAATTTTGAAAACTAATTATTTGACAAAGAACCTACATGATAATTAGCGTCGAATGTTAGAATACTCGGAAAGTTGCTTTGAGATAGAAAAAACGAGATTATTTATGCAAGAGACCTGTTTTGCGCAAAATTATATATTTTCTTAATTTGATCAAAACGCGATAAAGCAAAATCCTGAATCGCTATCTGCAGAGATTAAACGGGCAGCCAAGAATTTCCATAAGACCTATGAGGGTAATTTCTGTCGCTTCCTTCGTGACCGGCATTATTACTCCGTCACGACATCGCAAATGTAAAGGTTGTAGGACAAATAGCTTTCGCGTCGACGATAAGAATTGCGACTTTCCCGAGTAAGACGACCCGCAAATTCTCGCTACATCGATCGCAGTGCGACGCAACGTGAACGTGATCCATTTACGCGCGGCAAATTCGTCCGATGATAAAATCGTTGCCGACGCGATCGAACGTCACGAAAAGTTTCGACGTGCTATCGAGCACGAGCAAGTTCGAACAATATACATTAATTTCATATATCCGAGACTTTTGTGCCGGGCGAATAATATTGCAAAACCTCATCTGCGTGCAGCCGACGTTATACATTATTATCGCTAGCATTGTTATCTCTTCTCTTCTCTTGTTGCACCATCGCCCCCGGCGATTATTTGGAAAAAAAAGATTCTCATTCATCGCGCGGAAAATGACGCGCTTTCATGCGCGGCTAACGTTAATGGCGATGAGATCCAACGCGCATGCACCGTCGATGGATTAAATCCGCGCGGCCGTGCGCTAATTGGGATGTGATTATTAGTCCTCTCGGCTTATCGAAAGATCGAAGTAACAGCGTAACGCCGTAATGCGCGCATGATTTGATAGCCTGTCTATTCTCTCCGGCCGTATAAGAGCTTCGTAAGCCCGCCCTTATCGCATCGCGATCTTATTCGCGAATGAAACGCATCTATGTTGCGAGCGTTGTGTACATGAGCTTGCTGAGAACTTTCGTGCCTCTCGCTCGCTCTGACTCCCGCTCTATATTCTCCCTCGTACCGCGAATATTACCAGCGACGCTTCGCAGCCGCCACACAATGTCGGATGATTATGAGGAGAACGGTACGGAAACACGGTATAGCGCCGCACCTTATACCCACCCGACTCTGCTGGCGAAAGCCAATGGCCCGGCTATGATACCACTACCGTTGTGCATCAACATCCTTCGATGTAAGTCGAGTCGCGGGCTGACAAGTGCGCGCGGTCGATGCACCGTTTGATCCAACCACCCTCGCTAAAGTTTGTCGGCTAGTTTTCAGAGTTATAATACGTGAACACGAACGACTGGACGAACGCTATCGATACGCGAGACGATTTTTCTTTTTGCTCTCGCAGCCTGACTGATTTGTCGATGCTGGGCACAGACGACGACGACGAATCTCCGGACGAGATGTGCACTTTAAAACCGTACGTAATAGCCGTGAGAGGAGATCCTAGATTGAAGTGAGACGCGGCGCGAAGGGGTGGGCACACCGTTCCGCAACTCACTTGTCCGGCCGCGCCGTTATCGCTCCCTTTTATACGTCCACGACATTTCGGATAGAGGATAGCGTGCCGGCTGAGAGCTTAATTCGATTTGCGATTTACCGAATGCAAGAAACCTTTCGCTCAGGCCCGAGCTCGCGTCACGCAAACGATCCTCACTGCACAATCTGTCTCCTCTCTTTCTCTTTCTCTTTCGTAAGTCGACACGTCTCCTCTCTTAATATATCGTAATCTGTATTCAAGGTAATCGTTGTTATTCAATTCATCATTTCGTGCGACGTCAGCTTTGGGATAGATCCTCGCGAACACGTAACAGTCAAGCTTAACCAACTTATTGACAAAAATAAACGCATTATACATTATTGCGGTCCCTGCCGCACTTGAGAGACGCGAGGTAAATTAATTTCCGTGCGAGAGAGAGACCTCCCACGAAGCTAAGGCGGCTTATTAATAAATCAGCATGGTTATCCTCCAACTAGAATAATATAACATCGGCTGCAAATATCCGCCTCTGAAACGGAAGGTGTTAAATAGCGAAGCGTTGATTTAAAAAAAATTGATTTCCGATATAATAAAATGCAATTTACAGGAGCGCGGTTATCCGCTTCGAGTTAATTAAATTTCCAATGTAGATCCTAATCGATGTTTTATTACGCCTTATCACGATGTAGCCGCGTACCGGTGGACCGTGGGCCGCAGAACGCGCAACGCGGCGACCGATAGGAAAATTCGAGAATAGTGCGTTTCCCGCTACACCGCGAGCTCACAGTCGGCCGCAGAGGTTTTTCACTCTCGCGGTTACTATGCTGGCGGTACGCGCGGGAAATTCATCTCGAGAAGTGCATCCGATATACGGCCGTGCAAGCGACGGCCTCGCGTTTTCACCGCTGTCCTCGTTCGCCCGTTTGCGACCGCAGCCTTCACGCATCCACTGGATTAAATCATAAAATTGTCCCGGAACGGTTGTGAAATTCCGCTGATTTACGAGGGAGGCCGTGACTCGCGTACTCTTCTCTCGCGCGGGACTCGTTGCCGTTACCCACCTATACTCGCTGGCAGTCGTCGACGAATCCGCTCCGGTTGTCCCGCACGAATTCTCCACTTTTTATCGGCTATCTCGATAAAGATGACTCGAACGGAACGAAGAATTCTCTGCTGTCGGAAACATACATGCTATAGACTAGGGAGCAGAGTAGAATTGGAATCTATCTTTCTTCTTCTCTTTCTCTCTTCTCTCTGGTAGTCGCCAAGCGAAATGAAAGAATGACAGTAACTCGCATTCTTTATTTCTTTCCGTGTTCCATTTACATTAATCTACTTTTACAAAGTAATTTCCAAAATAGTTATTTTTCTTTCTACTTATTTAATTTCCGTTGATAAATATAATTTTTGCGCAAATCAGAAAACGAATAAAATAGGTGCGCGTTCCTCATTCGTTGACGAACAAAGTAAAGCCGAGAGAATATATGAAGCATCGCCCGGCAACGCAAAGAGAGCGAGCATGGCGGCGCTTTTTCACGATTCACCGGCTATATTTACGAGCAGCGTTCGCCCATGTAATTCGCGCGACTTATAAAGCAACGCCACCATTGTCCGTGATGGAAATTCAGCGGAAAGATTGGATGACAAACAATGGGCCTAGCCCGGCCAGATTATGGCAACAATGAGCGCGACGAACGACGTAACGACGGCGGTCTGCGTTGCAGTTTGTGCTTCTATTTCGCCTTTCATGTATATGTCGTATTCCTAGCACTTTCACATATACGCGATTTGTCATTTCCCCAATTTCAGATGTCCATTGTCGATACTTTGATCCGTCGTCAATAGCATGTCGTAATTAAAATAAGACTATATTGAACTTCTGTAAAGCCGCAGATAACATCGATTTCAAATATTATTTACGAACTTGGTAAAATATTACCACACCCGCCGCGATATCTCTTGCTTACATCTACCATTTTGCTACCTTGGTCGACGCCTTCCTCTTTTTCGTATGTTCATCGGCCAATATCCGATTGCTGGCCGATACAAATAGAGATCGATCATGGCTTTGGTTACGAGCCAACGACGTGTGCCAATAGGACCACTTGATTGGACAAAACTGCAACCCGTCTTTTTAGATACCGGTATACCATATAGCATGCTGTATGTACGTATTTTTCTGTTCTGGCAGTTCGATAAGCCACATCGGCGGCATTTGGTTTATTGAATGCAGTTTTGCGTTAAGTCTAAAACAAAAAAAAAATACAAAATTTTAGTAAAAGAATAAATCAAATATCTCAATTATGAAAATATACGTTTATTATTGAGATGAGTTTTATTATTGAGATATTGTTAAAACGGTACAAGGTACAGCTGACAGAAACGGGTTTTAGAGGAGTAGCGTTAACAACGCTGCTGCAAAGTGCCTCCACTTCGCTATGTCATGTGACGCCAAGCAGCAGAACTTGTCACATATTCCCGTTGCAACATATACGAGACCTTAAACTATTGTCTGATCTTCGTATATCTGGGTCACTTCCGGCACGGAGCGGGATAGGAATAGGATATTGATTGGTGTCATAAATACGTGAAACTGAAGTATTAATGGCCAGACTCGCGAGATAAGCTACATTTTATCTCGTTTACCTTCGACCTTTTATTTCTTAACGTCATCGTTGCTATGCGGCGCATTGATTCTTACTCGTATATATCTCGTATATCGTATACAATCTCTATTCTCGTATACAATGTGATTCTTACCCGATAGTACTCACGTAGTCAAGTAGTAGGAAGGACAGACAAAGGAATGCAGATTGAAGCGTCGCGGATTAACGAGGATTAACGCTAATTGTGCGGTCGGCGTCGACGACTCCTTCTCGTTCTTGTTGTTCTCGCGATGGCAATTCATCGAAATGAGTGAATACGAGTTACGATAACTCCGTGGTAGGTTTCCGTCCTCGTTTTCCCGACGACAGTACGATCTCGAGAAACCAGTCGAGAGGATTCCCGATGCGACGAGATTGGAAGTTGACACTTTTTCCCAAGTCAAGAGCCATCGCTATTATTCAAATTGTCTCATCAAAGTCAGTCACGACGCGAAAACTCTCGCGTCGTTACGCGTGATCAATTCAGCGTCGCATTTAATCAACGTTCGTTTCTTACAAGGCGGAATTATGATGCGCGATCGATTGACTTTTAGGGGAACGATGTATCTGAAGCGATATACGTATAAAGAGTATCCGGTCGAGTGGCTAATTTCCTTATAGCGAATTTGGTTGGACGCACCAGTGCGCTCTTAGCGCACTGTTAAAGTCGTTGTACACTGATTTAATCTCTAATATTTAAAGTAAAATGGAAATATTTCGACTGATAAAATGGCCAATACATATTTTACCAAATAGTACAATAAAGAATATTGAGGATTTCGACTTAACCCGTTTATATCAAACATACACTTTACGTTAATTTGTGTACGACGACTTTAATATGTACTGATTGTGAGTGCACACTGGTGCGTCCCACCGAATTCGCTATTAATTTAACGACAAGGTACAATAACGAATTTTTTCGACTCGCCGGCATGACAGAGTGGTTTAACGAAATTCTCCGTCCTTCTTTCGTTTTCTCCTCGGTTTCGGCGACGGCCGCAATAGCGGCGGCGAGTCATTACATGCCTTTATTCCGCGATTATTTTTACGTGGGAAGAGGGAAAAGAACCACATACATAGAGGTAGCGTGGCGGACAATAAAGCGCATTATGCGCCTCTCGCCAGGATATCTCTCCGCGCGTTGAATGCACTCGCATTCTTTCGGTATCTCGCTCGACAAAAAGAAAGCCATACCCTCGCTCTTCAGTCCGGGAAAGTTGGCCCGTTACGCGAGGGAGGCGAACACAAAAAGCTGGCGGTGACTGATTGCAAAAGAGCCATTATCGAAATGGAAGAAAACTGTAAAGAGCGATGCAAAATCCTTCGATACTTCATAATGGGCGTAAGTTTTTGCGGCCGCTTGTGCAGGAAGTACGAACTATGTATACACAACCGAGTGATTACGGCTAATTGCACGCGGCGAGTAGATGCCCGTCGATTGTTTAGGAACCACAAGTTCCGAAGGCGTAATATCACCGAAATGAGCATGTTTTGCATGAAGCGAAATACACTAGTTTTGATAGCGTAACTAACTGATAGAGAAAAAAGGAGAGAGATAGAGAGAGAGAGAGATAAAGAAACACATGTATGTACTGCGAAGGTATTGTAAACCTTTCTGCAAGCAGATTATTTATATTTCCCAATATATATCTGTATAAGTTTGCCAATGGTATATAATAAAATATCTTATGAACATAACTCAGAAATATGAAAAATAAATAAAATAATATACAAAATTAAACGGGGAGAAGTTTACAATAATTTGTATTGTGAAAATCGTAGGCTGCATGTGATGATTCGTAGAATCTCTCGAATTCCTTCTGTTTTTCGAATGTGTATATTCTTTTAATAGTCTCATGAATACCCGGTCAGTGTTCTCCTTCCTTCCAGATACGTACGTTCCAACAGTAACACAAACAGTCGCGGCAGTTCGATCCTAACTCTCATTGGGGTCGATGCAGCTGTAAGCGTAAATGCACTCAAAGCGACAGATCCGACAGGTAGAAACGAAGCGCACAGTTGGCACGGATCGATTTGATCGTGCGACTTTGACTCGGCCGGCTCGGAGCAACGAGCCGAATGATGCCGAATAAAATGGATAGTGGAAATGGATAATCTTGATCAGCCTCTCTGCGCGCAACAGTCGCGGCCCGTTGCACCGTGAACATGGTTAACGCGTTAACATCGCATCGCTCATTATAGTTCTGATCATCGCAAATCTATTAACTATGCATTATTATTTCCTTAGAATCCACCTGTTTGTTAGAACAATCGATCTAGAGGCTGTGCACTGGCACCGTGAAACTAGACGTTGCTCGATTTAGCTAATATAATCTTTAGCAATTTCTAATCCTTTTTCCATTCCGCGTTTTTTTATATTTGTAACTATTTACCTTAATTATTTACAAATTTAAAAGAATTTTACGACAGGTAAGTAAGGAAGGTTATATCTTTTGTAAATATCGCAAGTATTTAATTTTTCATGATTAGTTAATTGAAAGGCGATATGTTGCAAAGTTATTATTATCTGTCCTATGAAATATATATAAGTACTCGAGTTTATCGGAAATGCGCGTGTTACAGGGGGAAAACCGCTGGTTTGCTTGTTTATAGGAGTAGGGAATACGAGAACTTCGCCGTGGAGACGTAAAGGCGGAAACCGGAGCCAACGACTTAGACGAGACATATACCAAGTATGTGTACGTATGGCAGTTGAGGTAACGTTTCATTTGTACTTTTGACGTGTTCCCTCCTTTGTCAGTGACGTTCGAACGCGTGTTACAAAGAGTCCTGGTTCTCTCGGTAGGATAACGTCAATTTCGTGCAGGATTCTTTGGAAAAATCTCCATAATTTCGGGAATTACCTTTTGATGTTCGAGATGAAAGACTTGCGACGTTGAACGCTTTGACCTACCTAAGTCTTCGCTCTTTTTTCCTATTCGACACGCCCCTCTCTCGTCGTTCGTTGTTATTTTACGGGAATAAAATCGAAGAAGTCTTTAGAATACAAAGAAGGGAGAGTTTCGTCAAAACGGGAATCATGATTGCGTTTCGTTCACGAAGCTAATCTCGTCTTCCACGCTTCCCCGAGACGCATTTTGGATTGGCAAACCGCGTGAACGACAGTTGAAATTGCGGTACTTCGACAAGTTTCGCGGATCAAAGCAATTCACAAATACATTTAACACATTGGTTACTACGTAATCCGCAAGCCACCCAATTCGGATTATAGTACGCGTGTCGATCACGGTCTTATTTTCCTTCACATTTTCATCAATGTAAATTAGCAGAAATCCCATATATATTATAATTTAAAAAAAGTGGATTCATCAGTAATTCGTTCAAAGTAGAAAAGAAACCATTCCGTTGAAGCGGCTTTTGTACTGTCGGAAGAGTACTAAAGAGAACATAGAATACCGGAACAGAGGCAACGGCGATAGCCGCGTGCGAGTGCGTTCTGTTTAAGCTCGAAATGGAACAACGCGATAACAAAAGAGGAACTCGCACAATGTGCGTCTGGGTTTGCCCGGGAAGGAAGGAAGGAAGGCTCTTGCGCACAGTCACGCGAATACGTACGTTCGCGGTGCTCGCTGCAATTCGCAATTTCTATGAGCGCAGGACGAAGGTGAGCATATCTTGCCGGTACTGAAACGAACCAGGGCTTAATTTCGCTCCGAACATCATGCTCGTTCGAGCGTCACGTTGCGTCGCGTCGCGCCAGGCCGGGCACCGTGCACCGGGCCGAGCCGCGTTATGCTGGCGACTGGTTCGTTCGTATAACAGGACAGTTGAATCGCTCCGGGGGATTCTCTATCCTTTGTCTTATTGTTAGCACAATGGCGGCCGTGGCACAAAAGTGACTAAGTGCCCGTAATACTCGCCATTATAGTCCCCCTTATTCCCGCGCACCTTTTCCGTTTCTCTCACCTGATCCCCGCGGGCCCGTCTTTCACCTTCCTACCCTCTTTGGCGAGCTCTTTGGACTCACTGTATGTGCGGACTACTTGGCACACCTTCGACCAACCTAATGCGAGAGATGGTATAATATGAGTTTGTGGTTGTAGGTTGTAGTGAACGCAACGCGTTGTATTGTGCCGGAAATAACGTTGCCGCGTTGCTGCGCATGGTAAGATAGGTGTACGCGCGCCGATCGCGTGATTTCGCGCGATACGTCTCGCCCCTATGCTATCGAACTCCGTTGGCAGGAATCATTAATTTACGCTACTGGCCTCTCTTAATATCACATCTAGCTTACAAATCGCTTACGTTTTACAATATCCATCGACCTTGAAACCTTGGGAGGAGTCATTGTGCGTTCGTGAACCGGTACGTACTTTCGATTTACTGTCCGATTGTCACTTTCGTTTTGAGAGCAGAGAGACTTTTCGATATTATTGTCAATGTATTCAAATTCATTTTAGTAATCTATAATCCGCAACAAAATTTGGAACACATCAATATAATTTTAGATACCGTGAAAAGCATTCGCTGGATGTACACATGTACACAGGTGTATAATATGGCACGTAAAATTATAGATAGAGTAATCTGTATAAATTATAGACAGTATTCTATCTCGAATTGTGTGTGTGTGTGTA